CATTTGTACACTTTTGTGTACATTAACTTTGGCACTCCTCTCATAAAAGAGTGTGGAGTCCATGATTTTTTAAATTACGGGCCCCCCACCTTTGTAAGAGGAATGTCGTGCATGATATACACCAGATGACTCTAACAAAGATGACACAAAATTTAGTTTTGTTACATGTACATTAAATTCGACATCAATTTCGACATTGTTTTGAAGTGATAACTTTTTATACATTTTAACAACAATTTAAACAGTTCATGGGACAGATTTTAACACATTTTGAAATGTTAAACATAATGTACGCAAAGAGTGTACAAATAGTTTAATTCCACAAATTTACATTCGGAGACTTGAAAATTTGCAACGAAGGCGACACTAGTTATCCCCGATTTGGTGCCCATTGTTTTAAAAGTATTTTTAATACATGATCATTTTCAACTATAATTATACAATAGAATATTCAGCATGTAAATTTAATTTTTTTTCTATTTTTTAACCATACATTTTTAAAAAATACTATTCAAATTTATTATTATTATTATTATTTTTTTTTTTAATAATGGGCACGAAGCAGTGTTTAGGAACCCAACCAAACAAAAACAAAACTTCTGTGATTTCGGTTCTGCCACCCTCCTACTTCTCCAATACTATGAACTAACCTCGTCTCTTTTTCTCTCTCTTCTTTATTCAAAATGATCACAATTATGCTTTTTCCCGACAAACCACATTACTGCATCTGGATTTCCACTCTCGAGTTCTGAAGGAGAAACAAATCTCTCTCCGTGTAAATCTCTTGAATAGAAGAAGTAAATCTCTCATCAATAACCTTCTCTCTCCATACAATGTTATTCCATAAACTATAGACGGCCGATCGGCTCTTTTAAAAGTTGTCAACAACTGGTTTTATCTGTCCTTTTGGCGTAACCAAAGCTTCAATTTTTTTCTCAATTTCCCCGTCTATCTATTTAGAACATATACGTACAATAATATATATATAAACCTGTCAACTTTTTTCTGGGTCAAACCTCTTCTTGATTTTCGCTCAGATTTCAAAATTCCAATTTTTAGACTATGATCTCCTCTCTCAAACAGTCAACTTTGGCACTCAGCGGTCCAGATTTTCACCGGTCAAGATCTCCGGTGCCGACACTGACCCGCCACCTGCCGTTTCTTCCACAGGTCAATACTCGCCGGAACTTCATTGTTTCTCTCTCTAAACCCCTCCACATCGTTTCACCAGAAGCTTTCTCCACTTCTTTAAAGAAATCTTTAAAACATGAAAAGAAGCAATCTTTGATCACGTGTAAAGCGTACGAAGCCGACAAATCGGAGCCGATCAGCGATTCGCCGGGGGCGAAATCCGAGGCGGCGAGGAGAGTGAAGATCGGGATTTATTTTGCCACGTGGTGGGCTTTGAATGTGGTCTTTAATATATATAACAAGAAAGTGTTGAATGCTTTTCCATTTCCATGGTTAACTTCAACGCTTTCACTGGCTACTGGATCATTGATCATGCTCATTTCTTGGGCTCTGAGGATCGCTGAAACCCCAAAAACTGATCTTGATTTTTGGAAGACTCTTTTTCCTGTAAGCATATTTAGGGTTTTGCAAGATCTGGGTTTTACTTGTGCAGTTCTACTATCATTTTTTTCCTTGGTGAATTCTCTGATCTATGTGTTTCTGTTATGGGTTTTTTGACATAGGTAATTCGTGTTTGTACAATTATTTTTCTGGGTTTTTGATCTTCTAGACGCAGGCTCGATCGTATAATTGACAAAATTTTAGTTTCTGTTCCTCAGCTAATATGGAGTCTAAATACTTTTTTTTTTCCTTTTACTTTAGTTGAACTTCTGGACATGAATTGACAGTATAATGGACTGAATTTTAGTTTTTGTTTCTAGGTTGATAGTGTGGAGTCCACTTTACCAATTATTTTCAGGAGTTTGAACTTCTAGATAGTACAATGCTCAGAAAAAAAATGTTTCTTTTTCTGTGTTAATATTGATATTGTCAAGACCACAATGCCGATTATTTTTCAGGATTTTTGAACTTCTGGATGGGAATTCCACAGTACAATGAACTAATTTTATTTTGTTTTTAATTTGTTTTTCCTTCAGTAACAATGTTTAAGTCATCACTAATTATTTTTCATGATTTTTGAACTTTTGGTCTTGTTCCGTACAACTGACAAATTCATAATATTGTCGAGTCTCCCTTACAAATTATTTTTCAGGGTTTTTGAACTTCTGGACACGTACTCGACAGCAAAAGGGACAAAATGCTTAGTTTCCTTTTCTTCGTTATCACCCTTCAGTCTATGCCACAGAACATGCCATCTGTGGTTCTTTGTGATTTGGATCCACAGAAACATGTTTTTTCTTGTATGTATTCTATAAAAAGATTGAAGAATTGATTAATGTTGATGTTGGGTTGGCATGTTTAGGTTGCTGTTGCACATACAATTGGTCATGTTGCAGCTACTGTGAGTATGTCAAAGGTGGCTGTATCATTTACACACATTATCAAGAGCGGTGAGCCTGCTTTCAGTGTTTTGGTGTCGAGATTTCTCTTGGGAGAGACATTTCCACCATCTGTTTACTTGTCGCTCGTTCCAATCATCGGTGGTTGTGGTCTCGCGGCCCTCACCGAGCTCAACTTCAACATGACTGGTAATTCGTTGATTCACTTTTGTGAGTTAATTGAGCTTTGTTTGATTAATATTGTCCTCTTTTACTCGATTTGCTATAGAAGGGGGTATTGACATATTTTATTCAATCATAGAACTAACTTGATTAGAACATGCTCGGATAAGCTCTTAAAACGTACTCTTCTAGAAGATAAGTTAAAGTATACATAGAAAATAAGTTTTGTTAGTAAAAAGTAACTTTGAACTTTTAATCACAACCCAACATACTTAGTTTTCCTTGTTATATACTGGTGAGACCTTAGTGGGAGCATGAAACTTGTCTTCTTTATTTCTTTCATCGTGAATTCTTCATGGAGTCGCATGAATTTGTTTATGTAAGCAACTTGGGTTGGCATTTTCCGGTATTTTCGAAAATTGAATAAAGTTGTAGGAGGTGTTGAATGGAAATTACCAGTATTCGTGTTCTTGTCTGATGCATATATCGTTGTCGGCTGTTCGCATCAGGTTTTATGGGGGCCATGATATCAAATTTGGCGTTTGTTTTTCGGAACATATTTTCCAAGAAGGGCATGAAGGGCAAGTCTGTTAGTGGAATGAACTACTATGCCTGCTTATCTATGCTCTCTCTCTTGATTCTCACTCCATTTGCAATTGCTGTCGAAGGACCCCAAATGTGGACTCTTGGATTTAAAGAATCACTATCTCAAATCGGACCCCAGATTGTTTGGTAATCACATGATAACACCTACATTCTTTTGTTTCGTTTGAATTTGTCAAATATTGTAAATTTTGTGGATGATTAATCTTGCCATATAAGTATATAATTCTAAAAAACCAACTTAGCCCCAATTTGGTTTAGCTAAAAATCACGTTTTTAGTTGATTTTGATAAAAATTGATAATGTGTGGTTGAAAAGTTGATAAAAAATTGTGGGTCCCTGTGGTTCAAAATGAGTTTTAGAAATGGGAGGGCAAACAGGAAATTAGTCCTTGAATAGAATCCTTCGTTATATGATTTGTTGATCCAAAATCCAAATAAACTCATTTGAGTAGTTTTTGATGTTCTTGAGGTTTACTCTTCATGTCGAATTTTGGGTAACATGGTACTAAATTTTGTTTCTCGCGCCTTTTTGTCAAGATTCGGAGGTTTGTTTCTATTGATGTTTATTTGCTGAATTTTCTAAATAACAGGTGGATGGCTGCCCAGAGCGTGTTCTACCACCTATACAATCAGGTGTCATACATGTCACTCGATGAGATTTCTCCCTTGACATTTAGCATTGGAAACACAATGAAACGAATTTCTGTCATTGTCTCGTCTATCATCATTTTCCATACACCCGTACAACCCATCAACGCTCTTGGAGCTGCCATTGCAATTCTCGGAACTTTCTTGTATTCACAGGTAACTTGTTAGCTTTTCCTCATGTGACTTTTTTCTCAACACCTTGGCTGGAAACTGCTTATTTCTGTGCTTAGAAAGTTATCAAGGGCTTGTTTGGCAGGGCTATACTTTTGTTTGGCTTGTTGTGGAAGAGCTTCATGAGGAAGCTAACTTAGGCCAGTTCTCTAAAAGCTTTTCTAGTCAGACACACACCCAAAAAATTATTCAAACGTGTCGAAAAACAGATTCTTCACCTCAGAAGCAGCTTCTGGTTTTCCAAAAGTCCAAAATGGGCTCTAAATTTTACCACGCTACTATTTTGTTGACATTGCTTGATTTCTTACCTTTTAACATAACGAACTTCTTCAAAAAGCAATGCTTCCATGTGCATGTTAAACGGAAAATGAAGTTCTCATGTGTGTTGATTATCTCATGCTTCTCTAGAGTTTTGATAGTACAGCCAATTGCACATCAACGCGTTTGTTCTCTTATTTTCTCGTATTTGACAGGCAAAGCAGTAAGGAACTGGAATTAGGAATTCAGGTTGGTTGAGTTGCATGAACTGGACAGAAGTGGCTGTCAAGATTCTTGCTGCTTGAAGATCGATAAAGTTTGTACTACGTGGAGCATCGGCTTTACTTGTAGATACCAATAATGAGTTATAAAATCTTGGATCTTATATAGATTAATTTAGGGTTGTTTTTTGTGTTTTATATTGTACCCCGAAGTTGAGGGAAGAACTGAGAACTGTACCAATAAATAATGGCCAGACTAGTTTATCGTTGCTTTCATATGAAAATTTCCTCGTATGACCATAATATCAGATTATGACACAAACAAAATTGTCCTTCAAAAACTTCCAAGGAGATTTATTCTTGAAAAACAAAAATCACATCGACTTCATCCACACAACAAAAGGATCTTCTCGATCCCCCGAATTTCCTAAAAGGTTCACATGCAAACGTTCAAGTAAACACAATCAAAGCTTTAACAGTTTAATGGCTGTTTGAACATCCTTATCTCCTCTTCCACTGCAGTTGAGTACAACTTTAGTTCCATCTGGAAGTGTTGGGCACAACTTCTCTAGATATGCCAGTGCATGAGATGTCTCAAGTGCAGGGATGATGCCCTCGAGCCTAGATAATCTCTTAAAAGCTGGCATTACACAGGCAGACACGTTTAGTGTATGTTCTTGAAAGGGCTGGATATCATAACGGACAAAATTTAAGATTTTTTTTTTCCCATCAATACTGTCCAATCCTCTATTAATTTATTTATCTGACTAAATAGATCGGTGGAAAAATGGAAGGTGCAGTGCAGAATGCCTAACAATACATATTCCCTTTCTATTACTCCATCAAGAGCAACATAAAGCAATTGGTATAGGGGGAGGGAAAGCAATAAAGGACCTTATGGTTGTTTATTTATCTAGTGTGACTATGTTGAACAAGGAATTTCAAGGGAGTGGTCAGCTACATATACGAATAAAAGCACGGACCAAACGGAACATTAGATTTCTCTCCTTACCTTCTAAAGCCTCCTCATCGGTGATGCTATAATACTCAGCACGACCAATATCTTTAAGAAAACTGTGCTCTGGTCCAACTCCAGGATAATCCAGGCTATAAAAGCGATAAAGAAACATTTCTTAGTCAGGGAAAATATATCTAAACAAATGAAATCTTAAATTATTGGTAAATATGAACACAGTTTACCCAGCACTAACAGAATGTGGCTCGATAATTTGCCCATCGTCATCCTGCAACAAGTAGCTCATAGCTCCATGCAAGACTCCAACTTCTCCTTTAGTCAATGTGGCAGCATGCTTACCGCTATCTAAACCGAAACCAGCAGCCTCCACACCAATCAGCCTAACATCTTTGTCATCGACAAATTCATGAAAGATCCCAATCGCATTTGAACCTCCACCGACACATGCAACAATCACATCAGGTTTGCCACCCCATTTTTCCAATGCTTGTTTCCTTGTTTCTTTACCAATCACAGCATGGAACTCTCTTACCATCATAGGATATGGATGGGGCCCCGCAACAGATCCCAGGATGTAATGAGTTGATTCCACATTGGTTACCCAGTCTCGTATAGCTTCAGATGTAGCATCCTTCAGAGTTGCAGTCCCTGAATGAACTGGTCTTACCTGTATGTGAGTTCGGAAATTTTTAGCCAAAAGCAGCATCCTGAGCCATTTAAGCAAAGTAACCAAAATTCTATTGAAAAGCACGAGTCATTTTTTATGTCATGCAGGCATGATAAATTAACTTGCACAAGCACTCTTAGCTAAGAAATTGATGATTATATCAGACAAAGATTCTTCATGGATAACAATGAGGCTCACAAACTTGGAAGCTGCAAAAGATGGTACGGATATCAAAATATTGAAGGAAGGTTTGTTCTTGTAACCGTCAAACTGATAAAAAAATAGTTTCATTATCTTGAGTGATCGAAAAGGCTAAATAGGGGAATCTAGGCATTTTGCATCCGTGAGGCAAGACGTAAGCCTTAAGGCACCAATAACATAATCGAAGAATTATTAAAAAAATATTATGCTTACAACAAAATTAAAGTCGAATTTGCAGTTCGAAACATAAAAGACATCAATACAGTAGAAAACAATCGAGCAGTAATTTAAGTAGTAATTACATGACAAGGTCACTATCCGCAATTGGAAGTATCAAGCTTCAAAAATTTTGTCAGCTTTGGTTTTAAGAGAAAAAGAAAAATCCAGAGTAAAGAAAACTGAAAAGCAGAGACAAAATCTAAGTACGAGAAAGAAAAGAAGAACAACTTGTCCATTGCTTGCCAGAAAGGTGCAACATTGCTGGTTTTTTCTTCTCTGTGTCTGTTCGGTGCAAGTAGAGCGCCAAGGCACACACAGGGTGTTCATTTTTTCTCCTCTAATCTCCAATCCTTTTCTTTTCTTTTTATTTTATTAGTTTTTAAGAAGGTTTGTGTTTGGAACAGCCCAAAAATTCTTAAACACATTCTTTCAAATTTCAATTTTTTACTAATTCATGATGTCATTTTTAATAGACCAAAATCAATTATTCACAAAGAAGGAAATAGATATTGAATAAGGGGTTTAAGACGAATAAAATAGAATTTTGGATTTAGTTTTCAATTACGAGAATTATTAAATGTTATATAAAGTAGAAAATGAGGGACTTGATTGCAATTTGGACTTAGTGGAGCACTAAATAGCACTATATGGAACCTATTTTCATTTTATAAAACAAAACTCTAAACCACCGATACAGAGAGAGAAAGAAGGGAAAATTGAAAGAAAAAGAAAGAAGAAGAAATAGGGAAAACCTAGCACTGCCGCCTTTCTTTCCCCTCTCGACGACGATGCAAGATTTATAGAGAGCAGAAACAGGAAAGAAGAAAAGGTAAAGGAAAGGAAAAGGAAAAAATAAGGAAAGAAGAAGAAAAAGAAGCAAAAATGACGAAATGTTCAGTTGAAACTTGAAGGATCCGACACACATACCATACACATGTCGTGTCCAACAAGGGTACTCCGATTATTTCGAAAAGTCCGAGCATAAGAGAACTAAGCAGCTGAGGGCTTGAGGGTGGTAAGAACAAAGCCCAAAAAGTGGCAACTCACAGCTGTCACAAGGCTTATGCTTGAGTTTGACTCAGTAAGCCAAGGTAAGCCTTGACAGAACACCTTAAGCAAGAGGCACCTGGGAATGCTTTTGAATACACTGCTAGTCTGTGAACTTGAAGGGAACACTAAATTAGATTGACCACTTGATGCAATCAGCATAAACAATTCAAATAGATAATGCACGTTTATTAATGCATACAGCATCCTAATGAGCTGAATGCTAGAAAGTACTCCTCACCCACTATGATAAATTTGTTTTGCAATCACTGTTCTGCACATAGTTGTCCAGGAATGACAACAGCCGCAGACAAGATTTACCAGCATTCTTTTGTATGCTAAGAGAAGATTGATGTGTGGATAACTAGGTATTCCAATTCTACGTACATCGGATTATTCAAAAGAGCTAGTAAAAAGATAGTATTCATAAACAAACCTCAGCTCCAAGAAGTCGCATTCTGAAGACATTGAGTGCTTGCCTCTCCATGTCCTGAGCACCCATATAGATAATACATTCTAACCCAAAACGAGCACAAACGGTAGCGGTAGCAACACCATGCTGACCAGCCCCTGTCAGTCGTTACTATGCAAAGAACGGGTGGCGCTTGGCTAGCAATGCTTGAGCAACAGCATTGTTGATTTTATGGGCCCCAGTGTGGTTAAGATCTTCCCTTTTGAGATAAATATGTGGGCCTTTTCCATCAGGACATTTATAGTGCTCTGTAAGTCGTTCCGCAAAGTAAAGAGGACTCTCTCTGCCGACATAGTCTCTCAATATCCCATCTAGCTCATTCTGCATTTAGTACAATAAGTCATACATTTTGATGATATTCAGCTTTCTATTATTTAAAACATTATCGTTAAAATGCCTTAAAATGCATAATTATATTTTAACAAAGTTGTATAAAATCCATAGCTTAATCATGTTGGAAATGCCTAACTTTTAAATTTTCTAATAACAACATTTCTCTAGACAACAAATTAAATTCAGTAAAATCTACTTTTCAAAATACAATTCACAACATAAGTTAAACTTTGCTCATTGGCATAATATACTAACGTGAGGGTTACGAAACATTTTCTGTCAAATTCTGAAGCTTACTCATTTCTTAACGAATTACTTGGAAAATTCAATGTTACCAGCATCTTCACTATTTCCTACCCCCAATAAATTATATTTTGCAGTAAAGACGTAAAAAATAAATAAATAAATAATATATGTAGAACCGTAGAGTGAAGAAAAAGCAGAATCACTACTAAACCAGCCAATAATTTGATCAAATTACCATACAAGGCGCTTGACACGACGCGTTTTCAATACAAAATAGATTTTCCAATTAAAATTCATAACGAAGTTAAAAATCGAGAATCACAAACTGATTCACAGAAAAACAAAACATTAATTAAATATACATTTCGCATAAAATGGATCTTTAAGCAAGACCTGATAATTCTGGTCAGAAGCGAGGGATTTGAATGCAGTCTCGAGCTCCGTGAGGGCGTACATTAGGGTTTCAGGTACATATTTCCCACCAAACTTACCGAACCGGCCGAACGAGTCCGGCCGCTGCAGAACCACCGGTTCGAGTGGCTGCTCCGCCATTGTCTGTTTGGCCAGGGTACAGAAAATAGAATGAGGTTTTGGATTCAAATAGCAAGGGGGAGTAATTTTGTCGAATTTGAGGGGCAAAGTGGAATATGAATCAGCGGAGGAAGCGAGGTGGGTTCGGGTTCTGCAGGGTGCGGCGGAGGAGAAGGCCATGTCTTGACGGAGTAGATTATAATTTAAAACGCAAGTGAATAAAAAGTAGGATAAAAATGAAATTTGATTATCAGAAAATCTGTATGATACAGACTATAATAAGATATCTTTTACTTTCATTTGTTCGTCACTTTCTGAAAGTTAGATTGTGCCCCCCTAGTTTCGAAAGTCTACGTCCGCCCCTACTTGCTTGCTCATCAGCTCAGCTTAACAATATGCAGTACATGTCTTCTTGCAGTCCATGGTGCAGCCACCACCACCTCAACCATAGCCGGAGCCCTTCCCGGAACCGCTGAATGAAGTAAAACACTTATCAGGACATCTCAGCTTTTTCTTGTAACAAGGACCCTTTTCTTGGCACACTACAGTACGCCTTATGGTCCCTCCTTCAGAGTACCCTCCTCCGGGACCTCCATACCCAACTCCATAGCCACCACCTATGACTCCTTTGCCCCAGTCCGTATTGAACCCTGGTATGTCGAACCCGACTCCTGGCCCAAAGAAGCCTCCTATTTCATCATCATTGTTTCCACCCCTTCTTCCCTTCTTGCTGTTGGTGCTGCTGGGGTGGTCATAGATTGGTTTTTTGCTGGATGGCTTGGGGAGCAGTATGGCAAAAGAGAGAGTTGGTGAAAAAAGTAAGAAAGCTAATAATATAAAAGTAGTTGCAGAGTTCATTTTGGAATGTCTTTAGAGAAGAACGAAGGGTGGGAGAGAGAGTACTTAAATAGAGGTGTAAAAAGCATTCAAGAGGGAGTTGAGGGTGGTGTGCATGAGGGTAGGATAGGTAGGTTTAAGTGCAATTATTGCACATTCATTCAAGTTTATAATTCCATCAAATTCTATTCACCTAACAGTTTGACATGCTGAACAGTAAACATACTAAAACGGCAAACACATAAATGGATGTGTAGACGATATAAGTAGAAATAAATAGACTTTTTCAACTGCTTAAATTTTCAAACCAATGATTATATTGGTACAGATAGACCATAATTTTTGTGAATGGAACTTCAGAGCCATGAATATCCGAAAGAGAAGTATGTGAATTAGGAGAAAGGCTTCGATAGGATGGTTCTATATGTACATGTGGTCTGTTTACTTTATGACACCTCTAATCTCCAAACCATTCCAATCATAATACCTCGGCATTTATGTCCATTTTGTTTCTCTTTTAAACTTCGTATATCGATGACTCATGATTTGAATGATTCAGGTCCAAGGTGTTAGGATTTAAATGGCTGATCCTGCTGCTGCTGCTTTAATGTAGGTTTTAAAGGTATTTTGCTTGTGAATTCCAGCCCACGAGTTCCTCGTGAATATGAAATATCTACTTTAGAATCAATCTATATTTACTGCCTGTAAACTGGAAGACTTGAAATGCATGATCTTAGTTAAAATGAAAAACAAATAATAACACGAAAAATAGATTGGAAATGAAGGATAAGCATTGACACACAAGTATACGAGGCCATCCAAGATAAGGGATCTTTCAATCATGTCCAAATCTTTAGATGCACGTCAGCACGTGTGTGACAAATGAGTAGAACACGCACATTGTGTGATACATATATGACCAATAGACTCGTAGACTTAGAAATCCTTCTTTTGGAACGAAATGCATGTTACCTACGCAACAGGGCTGTAGTGGTGCGGGACTGGTACCACAAACCACCAAGAATCCCCGTGCTTAGAGCCTATGCAAATGGGACTTTAACAAAAGCCCCATTTTCAAACTCAAAGTTGGCTTTTTCTCTGCTTTCTTAATCAAAACTTGTTGAATTTTTTGTCCAGGCCAAGGCTGAGGATCCCAATTCCTTTCAATTTTCATTTATCTATTCCAGTGGCAAAAAAATCTCAGGTGTAGCCATTTTCATTAAAAAGGAATGAAAATAAAACTTGTTGTAGGTCGTTGGTACGCACTCGTATGCATTTCAGATGACATTAATGCGAGGATCCCTCCTGTACAACACCAAGTAGACAGCTACAACATGGAAACAAAGAAGCAGAGCCATTAAAAGAGGAGGCCAGGAGGGCCAACTACTAGCTACCCAAATAGGCCTCTAATTCAATATCATCATTTACACTATACTTGTTGGCCTCATTCCATGTACATACCCCTTCAATTTTTACAACCCAAGTGTTTGTATTATTGAACAAAAGCGTCTCAACCCCTAGGTTGTCGTTCCATAACTTCTTGAATCAACTCCACCTCCACTCTTTGATTTTCATTCGTATCTTATCCATTTAGTACAATCAGGCATGCATTTAGCAATCCTCATTTACTCTACATTCATCTTATAGACATTTTTTATCTTTAACCATATGCATCTCCAATGATGAGGATTAAATTTGACATTGGCACCACGAGAAGAATGAGGGCAGCAGAAAGAAAATTGGATAAGTAAGAACCAAAGCCTAGATCATTTAAATGATTCAGAGTAGACACACTTTACAGTTAGGCTTGGAGTCACAGAAGAATTTGAAAAACATCGACTTCTCACGATATGCATGCTGTGAGGAAATAAACATTATCATTTTATTCATATAGCATGATGATCTTGTATTATCCAGATAAACGTTTTAATTATGATATTTATAATGCCAAGAAAACGATAACTTGGCAATGTACAAATGAAACTAGAGGCAAGAAGAATTCCAGCTAGCATCAACAGCCTTGACGATCTTTTCGTGCAATCTAGCTCCAGCACAAGCAATTATACCCCGGTCAAGACCTTCCAAGTACATACCTTTAGAAAAGCATAGAGGATGACCTCCGGCATCAGTTACCACACCACCGGCTTCTTGAACAATAACAACACCAGCTGCATGATCCCATATCTTCTCCTTGTAGCCTGCCCTGGCAAACTTCATGAATACTTCAGCATCTCCTCGGGCTATGGCTGCATACTTTACCATGGAATGGATACGTAATGGTTGATTCCTGTGATCAATGCCGGTTGTGAAACTTTTACACAATGAACTGATTTACAGAAAATGGTTGATTCCTAATTACATTTTTGTTTCGGATGAGTTGGGGTGGAGTGGAAAAGTTACTTATCTTTTGGTTTCTATCAGTTATTAGTTAAGTTTTTATAAATTTGAAATGATACGGTTACTTTAGAAGACAGCAAGCAAATCATGCGATATTGATCATGATAATGTACATGCCCAGGTCATGGAGTTCCCGAAAGCACAAGGAAATGGAGAAACATATTTACCTAAGTCCAACACTGTGAGCCACTCCTGCTGTGAAGGAATGGCTTGAATTAGCCTTCTCGACTGGTTCACAAAAGGTTGCCAATGCCGGGTTATCAACGGAGGAGACTTTGATTTGCCTTGCAGAGTTTGGCCAAACAAATTTCTTTTCTTTATGGAGTAATGGCTGCATCCACGCATTACCACACTTTTTGCTTGCATAAACCACGCAACCTCTATCCCAAGATTCAGATGACAGTGATGTTAACCTAGACAAAATTCTACGGTAGCCATTATGGTAACTCAAACATTCCTTCTTCACTGGATAATTTGGGCATCCAAGAACTCCAAGCACGGGTTCTCCATCTTCTATCAAAGCAAGAGCAATCGCGTATTGATCCCCACGTAGAAATCCCAATGTGCCATCAACAGGATCCAGCACCCAAAATCTTCCACTAGAGCCCCCCATCGAGTTGCATCTATCAATGGTCTCGAGAACCTCTGAAGTACTGAGAGCCATAACGGGTGCTCTTAGTCCAAACCGGGGTGCTTCTGCCAGACACTCATTAACTGTCTTAACTATAGCTTCCAGTAACCCAAATGCGCCAATCTTGGATAGTACTTGAACATCTTCTTCTGCAACAATGGATACATTCTCGCAACCAAGAGCCTCAGACAGAACCCAGCTCACAATTCCTTGGACACTCCAATCTGCTTACAAGTAGCAATTGGAGCATTAGCCGATCCAACCTATTTCATATAAACCTATCAGAGCTAGACCTTTCGGAAGTAAAAATGTCGAGTCTATATTTTGGTGCAAGTAATTTTATGCTTAAAGTAGGGATCTTTAAGAAACATGACACGAGCTAGAATGCTACTCGTTCGATTTAGGGCTCATGCATATGACATCGTTTCTATAGCCTAAAGAATTGGCCAACATTTCTCTTTCATTCTCTTTTTTACCTCCAAAGTCCGTTACACGGGAAAGGATTTTTCTTAATTGAATGGTCTTCAATTACCATAAACTGGCTCGAGGCCATAGGAGCTGACATAAAAGTTTCTATCACATTTAAATAAAAGTGGATGTTCTTTATTTACTGTAAAATTATGATATTTATGAATTTATATACGTAGAAAAACCTATTTTTGAATGTGTCTCGTAAGTTTAGAAATGAATAAAATTAAAAGATAAGGACTGGATGTGTAACATCGATACAAGCATATATCAGTAGAAGATCTCAAACATATAATTGGTATATCATACATATATTCTTAACATGTGATAGAAATTCACTTTTTCCTTAGCAATGACTATAGCACTTTTACGAACAGCTCTTGATAAATTAGAAAAAAATAAAATTAAATAAATAAATAAAATCATGAACAAATATTGCTTCTTTGTCTGTTCTTCTTCATGAATGTTCAAGTAAATGGATTCCATGATAGATCTCCACGGCATAGAACCAAACTGGTCATTAAGCCACCGTTTGGATACAAATTATAAATTGTTTTACAAATTCAGTTAAACATTAATTTCAACTATACATTCGTAACTACTACTCATTATTATACAAATATTTTGTGGGACTCACTTCTATTCCTCTTTATAAATCATTTATAAATTTGACAAACGGAGGCTAACAAATTTGAATTAATTTTTGTTCAATGATCCTCCCTTATTATTTAACAAACAAGAGTTGAGAGCTCAATAACTCTATATTATATACAATCTTAAGTATCTCCTTTATTGTTATGAAGAGGCATTATAATGATCTTCCTCCATATAAAATTTCTAATGATGCAAATAAAAATCAAGCTAATATGTTGTGTTTCAATATCAGTAAAGACTCAGCAGCATATGAAATCCAGTTTGACTTTAATGCCGCGTCGAATTCTAATCCCATTTTGGGTTAAGTGAAACCCATAGTTTAATAGTATATTTTTTTTACCTGCAACAGCCACACTCTAATTCCTTTTATTGATGACAAAACGTGTGTTGGCAACTAATTATATAATTGTGCAATAATTTTGGGCAGGATATTGACTTAAAAAAATGAACGAAATAAAATGATAATGGTCGAGGCAAAAGTTTGACTCTTTTTCCTTAAGACAATAATGCCCCACACTGGTTTTGACGGTCTTCCAGCACTCATCTCTCAAGATACAACGACCTCGACTTGTAATAGTAGCACTCCAAATTATAAGATCCGATGAACCTACTAATGTTTTTTATTTCTCTAAAACTAGAAGACTAAAATGCACGAAAATAATATTCGGGACTAAAATGTACAATATGGAATAATATAGGATGGAAGGATTATATTTTGCAAGAGAGAAAATCTGGAGAGATTTTGAAATGAATAAAATCCAGAGTATGGGGACTTTTATATAGAAGTTAAAAAGTTATGTCCAAAAAACACAACAGCCGAAAAGTTGTCTTCAACAGACACAACCCTTTTGGATATGCAGTTTTACTGTCA